ACCCCCACCGTCTCCCTCCCTCCTTCCTTCCTCGAGTCGCCCAGCCGGCTGTCTGGGGCCGCCCCCGCCCCACCCGCTGCTCTGTGGTGACGGGCCAGACCCGGGGGCGCCCAGGCCGCTCGGCCGCCGAGCGACAGGGAGAGAGGGGGCAGGGCAGTCGCGCCGTGCACTGTGCACGACCCCAGCAGCCGGCTGGGCGGAGGCAGGGCCCGCCCGGCCGAGCGCCGCCGCCCGAGGTCAGGCACGGGCGACCCTCCCCCCGCAGGGCTGCAGCTGGGCCGCCCCGCCCCGGAGGCAGCCGGGTAGCGGCCGCCTCGCGAGCCCCCCTTGTGGGCCCTGCTCCCCGGGGCGAGCCGTGGCTGCAACCGCCCCCCCTCCCCGCCCCCGCAGGGCCTCCCGCCTGAGGGCCGCCCAGCCAGCTGCCTGCGCTTCGCCCCACCCTGGCGGCCCCCGCCTTGCCCCGGCAGCCTCCGCCCAGACGCCTTCCCCCGACTGACCTCCATCCGCCTTCGGGCCAGGCCGGAGGGCTGGCCAAAGTTCCGGCGAAACCGGGAGAAAACATTTTTGTCCCTGCTTCTCAGCCTCCCTCCCTACCAGACTGCTCTTTCAGTTCCAAAAGGGAGGTAGAAATTACATGTTTCTACAGTGTATACTGAGGGGTTTTTTGTTTTTCGTTTTGGAGGGGAACATAAGGTGTGACGAGAAAAGATACGACTTAAGAGCTTCCGGCTGTGACCTCAGGGTGGTCCTTCTGGTCTGTGTTCCCAGGATAGGCAATTAGCATATAGAACTTTGCCGATCTGCTCCGTCATATTTCGAAACACCAAGAAATCCCCTTTTCTCCACCCCCACCGCAAGATCAGGAACTGAAATGGTCCACCAAGTCGCAATGCACAGAATTCAGAAGACTCGAGCTTTGTCCTTTTTTTCTTTTTGCCCATTTTCGAACAATTTATTTCTTCGGGTTTTACTGCTTCGAGGTCGCTCACATGGGGTCCACATTTGAAGCTGACCGTAGCTTCTCCCCCCGCCCCTTTCCTCCCAACGGCTCACAAGCTTCTCATTACCCCCACTCCCAAGTTCCTGTCCTTACGCCCCCATCGCAGTGCTCCGGGGTCATGCCCCCTCTCTCACCCACCCACCCCCTTCCCCAGCATCTTGACTGCCTCCTTTCCTGAACATGAATAATTCCACAGCACTTCCCATCTGTTATTGCCATAGAGACAGAAGCTCAGCAAAGATAATGATGTTGTGTGCAGAGCTAGTGGGGGGAGCACAGCATCTGCGAGTCTGGGGGATAGATTTTCTAACAGGGAGAATACTCAGAAGGCCCGGCTGAAGGTCTGATGTGGAAGCCTGGAGAGCCCTGAAACTTGGCATCGGGTCAACTCTTGACACCTGGTTCATGTCTAGTGAGAAGAAACAATTTTTAGAAACCAGAAGGACAGATTTTTTTTAAAAGTGATTCCAAACTGCAATTAATGATACATGTTTAGTACTCATTTTATCAGCCATAAAAATAATTACTTGCTAGCTAGCATGTCCAAAGGCCTAAAGACCAAAATAAATTGGATAGTAAATAGACTTTTAAGAAATCAAATACATTATTCCCTCACCTGTTCTTTTGATTTGCTTTCCCCAGGAATCTGTTTTTTGAGAGAAGGATTTTTTGTGCCAGTGAGTTTATGTACAATGGTTTGAGAAATAATGACAGGTAAATGTGGCTAGAACCAATCAAGCTTTGAGGGCATTTTTGTTTTTCATTATTCATCAAAGTACAAAATGTACCAAATTAAAAATCGCTTTGCCCTTGAATTCTCAAGGCCTTGGCCTCAAAGGTACAAGTTTGAAGCAAGTGAAACTAAACAGGGCTCATTTACATAGATCTTACACAGATGGGGAGGCTGGCACATTTTTGCAGGCCTACTTAAGGGTTTTCAGAAATTATCAGTAAAATAGATTGTGTAATGTGAATTTAAAACTCTGAAATAAATGATAATGGTTCTTTATCTCAGAAACAGAACTGAACGGACACAGAGAATTCAGGCCTTAGAAAAAATAAGCATTGTGAGGTAATGAATATTGTAATTTCCACATACTAATGGTCGTCATCGGTGTTGAGAAGTCAACCTAAGTCAGCGGTTGTCAACCTGTGGGTCGCGACCCCTTTGGGAGTCGAACGACGCTTTCACAGGGGTCGCTTTCACAGGGGTCGCCTAAAATCATCAGAAAACAAAAAGATATTTACATTACGATTCTTAACAGTAGCAAAATTACAGTTATAGAGTAGCAACGAAAATAATTTTATGGTTGGGGGGTCACCACAACATGAGGAACTGTATTAAGGGGTCACGGCATTAGGAAGGTTGAGAACCGCTGACCTAAGTGTTGGTTGGTAAATAGCTATTAGATGAGTTGCACATGGGCTCCTACCACACTTTCTTGACTGCCAGCAGATACTCAGCAAAGCCACTGTGAGAGTGTGGGCCTGTGCGAATGTAAGAATTCCAAATGAGTTGGGGAGTAAAGGGATCCTCCCTACCCATTATCTCATCTTCCATTAAGCAGTACAAATAAAAGATCCAAACTAACTGTACTAGGTGGTCTAGAATTTCTTCTTCAGGAGTTATGGCTGTCTGATAATAATAGAAAGCAAGAATTTAGAGGTTATAAATTCCAAGACCAGTTCTGCCCTGTGACCTGAGAAATGGCTTAGGGCAAATGATTTGGAATAAATGCTTTCTTTGCGTCCCCATTTACTGATCTATCCTAATATTAATAATGAATATGAAAACAAAAAGGATAGAATCAAGTGCAACCATTCAACATAAGGTATTTTTATGTTTATGAAAGAGGGGAAAGAAAAGTCAAAAAAATGTTAATCTAGCATACAGTTACTGGCTTGTGTTTTTGTTTACACCTTATTCTCTTTTCCAAGGAAGGGTAAACCGGTTGTCACTTGATGGTTCTAGTGCTTCTTCTCCCCCCTTCCTTGATCCTCAATAAAAAAAGACTTTTTTGAAAAACTTTTTTAGCAGCAAGTCAGATATGCTACAAGTCAGATGCCTAATTTCAAAGAATCTCAACTATTTCCTTTTCCATCTCTTTTTTCTGTAGCTTTTTATTTATTTCTTCTTGTCAGAATTATGATGACGATGATGATGATGCTCTTTAACTTCCTCATAGCACTTTAATCTTTTTCCTACTTATCCTCTTCCCGGTGCACTTTACTCCCCATATTAGTTTAATGCTTTTGTTCCTGCCAGTGCAAAGTCCCTTTCTATCCTTGACTAAGCTTTCTCCTCTGGGCTACTTTCTCCTCTTAGCTGCCAAGTCAATACTAGATCTACAAGATCCCAATTCCCATTTTCATGCTTTAAATAAGATGAGAACCAGATGCTTTAAAACTACTAACTCCTTTTCCTGAATAGTGCCACACAGATGTTTTTCAGGTTTTAACTTGGGCTCTGTGAAATTGGAAGGGAAGTAAGAAGAAAGGAATAGCCAGAAATGGTAAAATAGAGAAAGATCATGTTAGAAATCATTGAATTTTCAATGATTAAATTGCAATAAACTGTAAAATCAATTAACAAACACATTAAGTGTATTTCATTGTCAATTCTAGGAATTTCATGAGTGTTTAGAAAGTTTGGCATAGTTTGATTTATTGCAAATCAAAGACATTTCCTTGGGGGTGAAATGGGAGGAGTCATAATTAGCTCTGATGTTGCCAAGCTATGATTTGAAACCTGCAAGCTGCAGGTGTTGTCAAATATGTAGTATAAGTGCTTCACACTTTCCTATGAGATACATACAAGAAATTCCCTTTTCAACAGAAAAGTGGAGGCAGAGTTTAGGTTACATGCCAAAACACTTTGCTGATCAGCCACAGAACAGGCGTTAGACCCAAATGCATTTGACCCACATCAGTGAAATTTCCATTCTTCATTTCCTCACTGCTCTTTCTGTTCATTCAAATAAGGACTGATTTAAATTAGCCAAAACAGAGCAAATATTGAAATATATAGGGTAAATAGCATTGTACTAAGCATTGTGGTATATTTATCACAACCCACAGTAATACTTACCCTTACTATGTGCAATGCCCTTTGATATTTTATTCTGCTCTATCCTGTTTCTTTGTATTTCAGTTCACTACTAATGCACTGCAGCCTAAAGTTTAAGAAACAATGCATGAAAGAATAATAATCAATGTTAACATTTACATAGTGGTTATTATCGCTAGGCTCTATTCCAAGCACTTCACATATAAAAGCTCATTTAATCCTTACCCCGTTTTACAGGTGAAGAAACTGGTGCAGTTATGCTCAAGATTACATAGCTAGATAAATCCTTCCCATTGAATTGTGAAAAATGTTACACATGATTTTTAAATCTGAGTTCTATGTTGGCTCAATCTGGATGTTAAAAGGTAGGATTAAAGTTAATGTTATTAAAGACCCCAAATAGCCAAAGAAATCCTAAGAAAGAAGAACAAAGCAGGAAGAATCACACTTCCTGATTTCAAGCTATACTATAAAGCTATAGTAATCAAAACAGTATGATACTGATATAAAAACAGACAAATAGACCAATGGAACAAAATGGAGAGCCTCAAAATAAGTATATAATCATACAGACAACTAATATTTGACAAGGATGCTAAGAATACTTGACAGAGAAAAGATAGCGTCTTCAATAAATGGTGCTGGGATAATTGAATATTCAGATGTAAAAGAATTAAACTGGACCCATATCTTACACAATTCACAAAATGTAACTCAAAATGGATTAAAAACTTACATGTAACACCTGAAACAATGAAACTCCTAGAAGAAAAACAGAAGAA